AAAAAAAAAAAAAAAAAAAAAAAAAAAAAAAAAAAAAAAACTCCAGCTCCTTCCTCTTCTTGGTTTTGCCCATGACTTTTCAAAGGGCATGTGTACAGTGGCCAGTGGTATCCTGTGTACTATCCATAAATTGACTAGAGGCTCAGAAGGTTGAGATCAAGTTGTCTTAATATAGTAGCATTTGGTTCCCTAAGCTAAGAGTTATTCATCCTGGGTGCAAGACAGATGGCAAGTGCTTGTTCTACCTCCTGTTTTCAGTAGTCCCCTTCAGTAAATGGTCATGGAAATAGCAAATGTACAGGCTGCTGCCTCTGACTGGAACACACTCACCACTTCTCCCCTTGAATGCATGCACACCAACTACAGTCCTACCTCCGTTTCCAGGCTCAGCTCAGTGTCAGGCTTCCTGGCCACCCTGGGCAGAAGAGATCCTCCCTCTCACAGCAGCATTCTTGCACCTGCCTCAGGGCCATATAAGGCTGTAGGCCAGGTCTGCCTCCCCTTTTATTGTGGGTGTTGTAGTCACCCTGAAGCAGGGTTGTGTCCTCATTTTTTTTTTTTTTCTTTTGGCATACCTATCACTTAGCAGAGTACCTGGCCCGCCATGGGTGCCCCATTAACGTGTATCGAAATAATGCATTTTTTATTAACAAATTTGTGAAGGAAGAAATGGCTGCACTTGCTGTTCTTACCACCTTCTGTGCTTAGTCACTCCTTTGTTTAGCTGCTTGGAAAGCATCTACACAGTGGGAAGCCTTGGTTTTAAGGCTGAACTGAGGAAGGATAAAAACATGATTTAAAACTAAATCAGCCCCCACTTCTTCCCATTTATATGTCATCATATAATCATTAGTGACCATTTTCTTTTTTTTTTTTTTTTTCTTTCTGAAGCGAGAACAAAATTAGTGACCATTTTCTAAAGGGATGTTATGTCCTAAAATGTATTTATTTTTCAAGGTACTGTCTGTTACCTTCAGATTACACCAGTATGGTTCTGGGACATTTGTATATTCTTTTTACCACAATCATGAAGGAAGCAGGGTTAAATGTATTATGTTATATAACAATAGCAAGAATTTCTTTATTATAGTAGGAATTGTTTGAGAGCTGGTCCCTGAAATAACTTAATCTTTATATTATGGTTGGTAGCATTCAAAGATCTTTCAAATACCAGTAAGAGTAACCAATCATTATTTTAATACCAAAAAAGAAAACCATAATTGTTCTGTCTTAAAGTGACAGTTATATGTTTTATGTCACCTTCCTCCTGAATGTTACCTCATCATTCTTATATCTTCAGATATCTGGTGGCCCAAATAGAGAACTACTGAATTTATTCCTGGTATGGACAGGCAAATATTAGACCAGTAGTTGGATATGGTGCTTAGTTTATCTTATAGGGGTTAAAATTCTATATTGCATTCGATTTTATTGCAAAATAATTACTTACTCTCCTTCCCCAGGTTGCCTTTATTTAAAAATGAGTGAAATATAAATTTAGAAGCCTTTATCATTCTATTGAATAATAACACAAAATGGAAAAAAACATAATGATGAAGAAAGTTGAAATAATTTTTTTTCTATAATATGCAGGTAACCTTACTCCTAACGGTATTTGGTGATGATGATCAGTCTCAGGATGTTGTGAGATTGCATCAGGATATTAATGATTATAACCGGAGATTCTCAGGACAGCCCAGATCTGTAAGTAATACAAAAGAGGAAGACACATTACTTCTCTTTTGTAAAGTGAGGTTTACCAACAAGTATTTGACTATGAAAAGTCTCGGCCAGGCACAGTAGCTCACACCTGTCATCCTAGTACTTTGGGAGGCCAATGCAGGCGGATCACCTGAGCCCAGGAGTTTGAGACCAGCTGGGCAACATGGTGAAACGCCATCCCTACAAAAAATACCAAAAAATTAGCCAGGCTTGTTGGCACATGCCTGTAGTCTCTGCTTCTTGGGAGGCTGAGGTGGGAGGATCACCTGAACCCAGGAGGTCAAGGCTGCAGTGTGCCATGATCACATCATTGCACTCCCACCTGGGTGGCAGAGTGAGACCCTTCTCAAAAAACAAGAAAAAGAAAAATCTCATTATATGTGTTGGGTCAAGTTTTTACCTTCATTGTTGCCAGTCACTATGTTACAGCTTTCCGAAGGACTACAATTTTCTTTCTTAAAAAACAAACAGCATTATAAAAGTTTTTATGAAAAAGAAACTGCACAGAGCAATATAAAAAATTAAAGGGAAACAGAAAACTAGTGACTCTATGTGATACTAAAACACCGTTTATCTTTTGAGAAAAGTTACAACAGAAAACTTCAACAGTTTCACAGTTGTGTTTTATTCTAATTGCCCTAGCCACCTGTTTGAAATGTTCCCTTAAAAAAATTCCAGGTTGGCTGGGTGCAGTGGCTTACGCCTGTAATCCCAGCACTTTGGCCGAGGCGGTGGATCACCTGAGGTCAGCAGTTCGAGACCAGGCTTGCCAACATGGTGAAACCCCATCTCTACTGAAAATACAAAATTAGCTGGGCATGGTGGTGGGCACGTGTAGTCCCAGCTAATTGGGATGCTGAGGAAAAAGAATTGCTTGAACCCCAGAGGCAGAGGTTGCAATAAGCCAAAATCGCACCGTTGCGCTCCAGCCTGGGTGACGAGAGCAAAACTCCATCTCAAAAAAAAAAAAAAAATTCCAGGTTTAGGCTGGGTGTAGTGGCTTATGCCTGTAATCCCAGCACTTTGGGAGGCTGAGGTAGGTGGATCATTTGAGGTAGCCTGACCAACATAGTGAAACCCCGTCTCTACTAAAAATACAAAAATTAGCTGGCTATGGTGACTTGTACCTGTAGTCCCAGCTACTGGGGAGGCTGAGGCAGAAGAATTGCTTGAACCCAGGAGACAGAGGTTGCAGTGAGCCAAGATCGTGCCACTGTACTCTAGCCTGGGCAACAGAGTAAAACTCTGTCTCAAAAAAAAGGCCAGGCACGGTGGCTCAGGCCTGTAATCCCAGAACTTTGGGAGGCAGAGGCAGGTGGATCACGGGGTCAGGAGTCAACCTGGCCAACATGGTGAAACCTTGTCTCTACTAAAAATATAGCTACTCAGGAGGCTGAGGCAGGAGGCAGAGACTGCAGTGAGCCGAGATCGCACCACTGCACTCCAGGCTGGGCTACAGGGCGAGACTCTGTCTCAAAAAAAAAAAAAATTCCAGGTTTGGAGGGATATGTTTATATGTCCTCTTAGCTATTTAAAAGAATTCTGCTTTTAAAAAACACGTTAATTTTACAGTTAACCTTTCTTCCCCCATGCTCCTAACCCAGAAGTATTTGATAAATCAAAAACTAGCACATTTTACTGACTCATTCTTGTTTTCTCAAAATCTAACACATTCTTAGAAATGTAAAACTGAAGCCGGGCGCGGTGACTCACGCCTGTAATCCCAGCAGTTTCGGAGGACGAGGCAGGCGGATCATGAAGTCAAGGGATTGAGAACATTCTGGCCAACATGGTGAAACCCTGTCTCTACTAAAAATAGAAAATAATTAGCCAGGCATGGTGGCATGCACCTGTAGTCCCAGGTACTCGGGAGGCTAAGGCAGGAGAATCACTTCAACCCTGGAGGCGGAGGTTGCAGTGAGCCAAGATCACGCCACTGTGCTTCCACCTGGCAACAGAGTGTGACTTTGTCTCAAAAAAAAGAAAGAAAAAAGAAATGTAAAACCAGATTAGTACTTCAAAAACTAGAACATACTAAATCCAAATCTATATGGATAGCCCAGACCTCTCCTCTGAGCTCCAGACTTTGTATATCCAACTGCTTCTCTTTCATTTCAGCATGGGTGTTCCCCAGGCATCTCTAACTTAACATGGAGTATTGAGCTGATTCCCTCCTTTAGATAGTCTGTTCTTTTCTCAGTTTTGATTTCCTCCTCTTCTTCATTCCTCTCATCTGATCTATAAGTAATCCTCTTTTCTTTGTATTTTTGGGGTATCCTGTTATTTTTACTGCAACAAAACATCCTTGCTGGCCGGGCGCAGTGGCTCACACCTATGATCCCAGGACTTTGGAAGACTGAGGAAGGTGTATCACTTGAACTCAGGAGTTTGAGACCAGCCTGGGCAATTTGGCAAGACCCTGTCTTTACCAAAAAATACAACAATTAGTTGGGCGTGGTGGTCCACACCTGTAGTCACAGCTACTTGGGAGGCTGAGGTGGGAGGATTGCATGAGCTGGGGAGCAGAGGTTGCAGTGAGCCATGGTCATGTCACTGCACTCCAGCCTGGGTGATAGAGTGAGACCCTGTCTCAAAAAGAATAAAAATGTCTTGGCTGTGGTGGTGTTGTTTGAGACAGGTTCTCACTCTGTTTCCCAGGCCGGAATGCAGTGGTGCGATCACAGCTCACTGCAGCCTCAGCCTTCCAGGCTTAGGCCACCCTACCACCTAAGCCTCCCAAGTAGCTGGGACCACAGGTGTGCATCACCACACCTGGCTAATTTTTTGTAGCGGCTAGGTTTTGCCATGTTGCCCAGGCTGGCCTCAAACTCCCGGACTCAAGCCAGCCACCCCCTCAACTTCCCAAAGTGCTGGGATTACAGGTATAAGGCACCATGCCCAGCCTGTGTCTACCTCTTTCAATCACTGTAGACTTAGTGTGCTAGTCCAGCCCTGTCATCTCTGCTCATGGCAATCACAGTGGCCTCCTCACTTCTACTTTTTTCCCTGCCATAGCAGCCTGATAAATATTTTCTAAACATAAATAAGACCATGATGATCTCATGTTTGAAAACTTCCATTTTGTTTGTTGTTTGTTTTGAGACAGGGTCTGGCTCTGTTGCCCAGGCTCGACTGCAGTGGCACAATCTTGGCTTGCTGCAACCTTTGCCTCCTGGGCTCAAGCCATCCTCCTACATCAGCTTTCCAAGTAATTGGGACTACAGGTGCATGCCACCATAACCTGGCTATATAGTTTTTGTAGAGAAGGGGTTTCGCCAATGTTGTCCAGGCTGGTCCTAAACTCCTGGGCTCGAGTGGTCCCTACCTGCTTCAACCTCCCAAAGTGTTGGGATTACAGACATGAGCCACTGCATGCGGCCCAATGTTTTTGAATGTTCCAACTCCTTACTGTGGCTTGCAAGGACCTGCATGATCCGGTCCTTCCTCCTTCTCCAAATCTTCTGTCAACCGCCTCACTGACCACCCTGCTCTCAGCAATCAGCACACACACAAACTCCTTCCACCTTAAGGCTGTCACACCTGACACTTCCTTTGCACGGAATGCGTGTCCTTCTGCTCTCATGGTGATTTGCCAGTCTCTAGATGACAACTATGTTAAGTAGACCCTCCTTAGAGTTTTCCCTGCTCTATGGCTGCCCTCTGTACCTTTCCTTTATGGTGTTTATCATAGATAGCACTCAATTCTTGTTCATTATCTTTCTCTCAGTAAACTAAAAGCTTCATAAGGGTAAAGACCATTTTTATTTATTCACCACTGCCAAATTAACTTATTCACCAGTGCCAAATTCGATGCCTTAATGTTTGTTGAATAAATGAATGAGTTACTATTAAGATAAGAATTGATACTGCTGCTCCCAGCCGAATATATTAAGCTATTTAGATGCTTCAATGTTAAAAAGACGTGTGCTCATGCTCCCTTGTTGTGTGAGGTCGTGTGCATTTCAGGGCATACAGTTTCAACTGTTATGAATGATAATGGGTAAATTTACCTATTTTTCATTGAATAGTAAAAAAGCTTAATCCAATCATGTTGTCCTCCATAATTGTTTGGGAGCCTCTTCTGTAATTTTGATTCAGCAATTTTTTTTATATAGCCTCAAATGACATCTATAGGATGGTTCTTTAAAAATGCAACCTGTTTCAAATTCAGGAGCTACTACTGAACTTTAAAAAGTCATTAAAATTTTTTTTCTTCATTTCTTTTCTTTTTGAGACAGAGTCTCGCTCTGTCACGCAGGCCAGAAGGCAATGGTGCAATCTCAGCTCAGTGCAACCTCTGCCTCCTGGATTCAAACAATTCTCATGCTTCAGCCACCTGAGTAGCTGGGATTACAGGTGTGTGCCACCATGCCCAGCTAATTTTTGTATTTTTGGTAGAGACAGGGTTTCACCATGTTTTCCAGGCTAATCTCAAAACTCCTGGCCTCAAGCAATCTGTTCGCCTTGGCCTCCCAAAGTGCTGGGATTACTAGTGTAAGCCACCGTACCTGGCCTTTAAAATTTTTCATTCATATTTTTTAAATGTGGATTATTTATTTATTTATTTATTATTTAAAATGTCAATTATTTTTTGTGTCAGATATTTAATGAGTAAAAAAGCCTGGTATGTGATGAAATTATAATAAAATCATTTCGTTCTTTAATATTGTGCCTCCTTCAAAGTTGGAGTCAGTTTATGCAAAAACATTTCTTACTAAGTCATTTCATATTTCTTGTCTAATTATTATATATTTTGTATAAATGATGATACCATATTACAAGTGAACAAAATACCTCAGAAAAAGAACAGAAAGGTGGTCAAAAACATTCTGGCTGTTTGTTAGAGTATCTAAAGTCATTTACTGTAAACTTTGTGAAAGCTGTAAGGCTGTTTTGCTTCAAATGTTAGTTCTTCCACAGAAGATAGAAAGTGATTTTGAAACGACCATTCTTGTACTTTGGTGACCAGTGTTCCAGAAGAAGTCACAAGATGATTTTCTCTTGGTCTGGGGGTTATAAAAACTATTTTCTCCTCACTTGTTCAGTTATTTTTGTCTCCATCTTCCTCTCAATTTATCTGGCTGCATAAAATGCCTATCCAGAGTTGGGTGTATGATTGTTACACAGATTGTTAAACATAGCAGAGGAATGACCAGAGGAAGTGATTCACCAGAAGGAATCAGTTTCACCGCTATTTTTAAACTATTTAAACATCAGAGTTCCTATGTCTTTAATGTATAATCACTTCTACATCAGCTGGGAAATTATAAAGGTCTTTCATACACAGTATGCCTTTTAGTTATTTTTGTTCTTTTGAATTTTTAGTCTGCTTGCCAGGGAACCTTTTAGTTCCTAATAGTCCTTGCGCATACTCCGTTAGTTGTTGAATTATCTCTAGTAGGTTAAGCAGCTGTTCCCAAGATCACCTGGCTAATAAGTGATTGATTTTGAATTCAAACCCAGATCTGTCTGACTTTAAAACTGAGACTTAAGCTGAAGTCTCAGACTCTAATCCTGTGTACTAGGTTCTTTGGTTTATTTTACTAACTCAAATCAGATGTGACTTGAGTTTTGCATTACTGTATCCCATATATTAAGCTTGATGACACTTTAGTTGCTTTTCAATTATCTTCACCAAGACCTATTTTGTAAGAACTTGTATTCGAAGAGCTATTTTTAAATATAACACATTAGAAAATATGATGTTCAATCAGTGTGTAACTCCTTAATTCACCTTAACAATGTTTACATATTGTAAGAAAATTGTATTATTTTGAAATCTGACACATTAGATGCCAAATCATAATATTTGTTTTTCCCTCTACCAGATTATGGAGAGAATTATGGATCTACCCACTTTACTGAGGCATGCATTCAGGGAAATGTTTTCAGTCGGGGGCCTTTTCTGGATGTTTCGCATCAGGATAATACTTTGTTTAATGGGAGCTTTTTTCTATCTTATATCCCCTCTAGATTTTGTACCTGAAGCCTTGTTTGGAATTCTAGGCTTTCTAGATGATTTCTTTGTCATCTTTTTATTGCTTATCTACATCTCAATTATGTATCGAGAAGTGATAACCCAAAGGCTAACCAGATGAATAAAAAAAAAACTAAGTTTACTAGGATATCTGAGCTAATGTGTAACGTCAAACAGAAGGACCCATGGCAGTATAAAGCAATGAAGCAATGGAGTATTATCTCACAAACATAAAACCACTATAAGACAAACCTTTGATAATCATTTGACAAATGCCTAGGAATATATAACTGGAATTTTCACATGTTGCAGGTTCTAATGTTAAGTTTAGAATTATAATGATCTACAGTTGTATCTTGATTCTATGTTGTCTGGAAAAAATATGAAATTACATAAAAAGGGATTCTTTTATCTTTTTCTTTTCCCCAAAATTACTTAGATTAATTGGATGTGTAGTAAAATATTGTTAAATGTACAGTTTATCTACCTTCTTCTCAGCGGGTACCTATATGATGATATATAGCTGTGAAATTCCTCTAAATATTTTTGTTACAATAAAATATTATACACTATTGGGGAAAATTCAGTATTTCTTTTAGTGCTAGCTAAGTTTTGTGCATTTGGAGCAGTTTTGCTTTTTCATTCTGGTATAATTATTTTTTATCAGCTGGAACTGAAAGAAGAAACTTGAACTTCATACTTCGGTATCATATTCTAGTTTACAGAACACATTTTAATCAATAGAATTAAGATGAAAAACATTTATCTCCAGTCAGCACACTTGATGTTCACAGTTATGACATTTAAACAAGAGTTTATCCTTTCATAGTAGCTATAAAAGTAATTTATAAAGGGAGATTGTTTTAGGAACCTGTGTGATGCTGTAAACACAAAGTAGCCTGATGCATTTCTGAAGAACGTGGATCTTCATGTCTTTGAGCATCAAAGTCCATAGGAAGGTACAGGGAACAGTATTCACATTTGACAACAGAAATTACTGATTAACTGTAGCAACAGATTGGACAAACTTGGTTAGTTTTCTGTTGTCAGAAATTTTTATAATACTGTCTTAAGGCTGGGCGTGGTGGCTCACGCCTGTAATCCCCAGCACTTTGGGAAGCTAAGGCAGGTGGATCACTTGAGGTCAGGAGTTCAAGACCAGCCTGGCCAACATGGCAAAACCCCGTCTCTAGTAAAAAAATATAAAAATTAGCTGGGTGCGGTAGCAGGCACCTGTAATCCCAGCTATGAGGGAGGCTGAGGCAGAAGAATCGCTTCAACCAGGAGGCAGAGGTTGCAGTGAGCCGAGATTGCACCATTGCCCTCCAGCCTAGGAGACAAAGCAAGACACTGTCTTAAAAAAAAAAATACTGTCTCAAGATGGAAGCACACAGCCCAGATTCATGTCTTGGGCCAAACAAGTGAATGTATCTTAAGACTCCATACCACACAGCATTGAGAGATCTGACTCACTTCGGCTGGCATTGCTCATTAGTGAATATATGATGGCAGGATGTGAGGGGATGCCCAGGAGTCAGTGTTAGCACTGTCATCTGAGATCACTGCTATTAATAATCTATTCATTTATGAGTGAGCCTCACTATATGCAGACTGGGCCAAGGAGAATATCTGTCACATTATCTCTAGTTAATCAGATCAACTACCAGCTAATAAGATTCTGAATGAAATGTCAATATATGTTTTTCTAATTTGGACCTAGGACAGAGCTGTTGCTTGTCATAGAGAAAGACATTAATGCTTAAACATAGCATATTATAATTAAAGCAGTTTCTCACATACTTTTCATTTTATCCTTTGGACAATTTTGTGAGGAATGCAGGGCACCACCTTCCCTTTCATAGATGCAATCCCCGTGCTATTGATGAGAGTGTTTTTGAATGAAGTCACACAACAAATAACTGATCAAAGTGGCATTAAATCAAAATGTCTTAGAAGGGCTTCTGCATAGGATGTTTCGATAGACATGAAGGTTAAGAGGAACGGCAAGAGAGAAACTGGTTCTCTAGAAGTCTTTCATGCTACCTTATTCCTTCCATCAGAGTAAGACAGCTTAAGCGCTCGTAAGAAGAAAGGTCTGTAGAGATGACACCTGAAGACTGCATGAATCCTAACTCTACACTTCCAAATCAAATAGCTAATAGGATGGCATACATCACAGAAAAACATTTCAGCTGCAATCACCAACTTGAAAAGCAAATGAGTAGGAGTTTGTCAAACTGCCATGTACCAGACTGGAAATGCATTTCCTACCAATTATACATTTGGTGTGGGGGGATGGTGATGTTATTTTTTTGACAGGATTTTATTTTGTGTGCATGTGTTCTGCTCCAAGTGTCACATTTCTAGTTACAATAATTGTAATGTTTGGAGTTACTACTAAGACTTGCCCGAAAGAGGTGTATTGTACCAAATTTTGTAACATAAAAAAATACCAAATGATCTTAAATCTTGTTAAATTGTGAAAAGGGTAAATGCTAACATCTCAGAAATTTAGACCTGCTTATTGTCATCTTTGTTGATCTCTGATGATAAATGCAGAAGGGATGTGAGAGTTTTTAAAGCAAGGAGAGTCAATCAGTGTTTTGAACATCATAGTAATACGTGATTCAGAGTTAAATCATATAAATCAAAGTAACAATTTGGATTTTTTAACAACAATATCATAACTGTCATAAAACAGATGGTCCAACCCCAGGAGCAGATAATAACTTGGGCAGCTCTGTGGGGAACCAGATGAGGGAAACAACTGTTCTAACTGCCCACTAGAACAGCGGTTTCAACTGCTACAATTCTCAGTGTTTCAAAGGTACAAGGGAAGAAAGGACCGTGTGGATCCCTTGTGGCTGTGCAGATACCTACCTCACAGAGTTGTGGAAGACTGGTAGTTTGGTTCAAACCTTGTGATTAAAGAGTTTGTCAAGCATTTTATTCTTTGGAATAAAAGCAACATATCTAAAAATTTTTAAAGGTGGTGTTTTTCTGTTTCTTTAACATTTGTTTACTTTCAGAACTCCTGAAAGGGCATTTGGTATAATGGTTGCAGTGGCTTTCGTTATCACTAATGGACATCCAATATCTCATCACATTTCTAATTAATTTTGTTAGGTTTTTTGTTTGTTTGTTTGTTTGTTGGTTGGTCAGAGACAGGGTCTCACTCTGTTGCCCAGGCTGGAGTGCAGTGGCACAATCATAGCTCACTGCAGTCTCGAATTCCTGGGCTCAAGTGATCCTCCTGCCTCAGCCTCCCAAGTAGCTGGGACTGTAGGTGTGTGACACCACACCTGGCTAATTAAAAAAAAAAAAAGTTTGTAGATACATGGTCTGGCTGTGTTGTCCAGGCAAGTCTTAAACTCCTGGGCTCAGCCTTCCAAAGTGCTGGGATTACAGGTGTGAGCCACCATGCACAGCACTGAAAATTATTTTTCTATTAAGCAAATAAATTAATTGGCAGATCACAGTGAAAATTTAGTCATGGAGATGTTTTACAAAGAAAAATTCAACATTCAATTCAATGCAACAAATTGTTTTAAACTATATGTAATTCAGCCGGGCGCAGTGGCTCACGCCGGTAATCCCAGCACTTTGGGATGCCGAGATGGGCGGATCACGAGGTCAGAATTTTGAGACCAGCCACCAACATAGTAAAACCCCGTCTCTACTAAAATACAAAAAAATAGCTGAGTATGGTGGCACACGTCTGTAGTCCCAGCTACTCTGGAGGCTGAGGAAGGAGAATCACTTGAACCCGGGAGGCAGATGTTGCAGTGAGCCAAGACCACGCCATTGCACTCCAGCCTGGGTGACAGAGTGAGATTCCATCTCTAAAAAATAAATTGGCTGGGTGCGGTGGCTTACATCTGTAATCCCAGCACTTTGGGAGGGCAAGGCAGGCGGATCACGGGGTCAGAAGTTTGAGAACAGCCTGGTCAACATGGTGAAACCCCGTCTCTACTAAAGATACAAAAAATTAGCCAGGCATGGTGGTGCACACCTGTAATCCCAGCTACTTGGGAGCCTGAGACAGATGAATCACTTGAACCCAGGAGGCAGAGGGTGCAGTGAGCTGAGATTGCACCATTGTATTCCAGCTTGGACAACAGGGCGAGACTCCATCTCAAAAAATAATAATAAATAAATTATATGTAATTCACCATACCAGTAGTCTACGTTTACCATTTTGAAATAAGGAAACAAAGATTATATTCAACAGATAATAAAAGTATACAGGTTATGGCTCACTGGAAGACAGGAAACAAGAAAAGGGAACAAAGAATAGAACTTGGCTGAGGGACACCACATTGACCGGTTTCACTCTAGCTAGATTAATGATCACAGACACCAAAAGGGCACCCTGCTAGCTGGTGATCCTTGGGTGCTGCTTAAGTGGCTTGTGGCCCCAGCTTCTCTGAACTGTCATACGTTCATTCTCTTCTGACATCCCTGCACTTCCCAGCTGACCTAATTTCCTAAATCACTACTCCCCCCTCCAAGGCCTTTACTTTGCTGGTGGAAGTAGCTCCCTTCTTTTTATTAAAGGTTGTTTGCATCTCAGTAAAAGGCACCACTATCCATCCAATTAAATGCCCAAGCCAGGCCTGGATGGTGGTGCATGCTTATCATCCTAGCACTTTGAGAGGCCGAGGCAGGAGGATCATTTGAGTCCAGGAGTTCGAGACCAGCCTGGGCAACATAGTGAGACCCCGTCTCTACAAATAAAAAAATTAGCCATACGTGGTGGCACATGCCTGTGGTCCCAGCTACTCCAGAGGCTGAGGTGGGAGGATCACCTGGGCTCAGAAGTCATGGCTGCAGTGAGCCCTGTGTGTTGCAGCACTGCAGTCCAGCCCGGGCAACAGGAGATCCCATCTCAAAACAAGACTCTCAAGCCAGAAATGCAAGCTTAGTCTGTGTTGATCTCTGAATTCCTCTCTTACTCTTTTTTTTTCTTTTTGAGACAGAGTCAAGTGCAATGGCACAATCTTGGCTCACTGCAACCTCTGCCTCCTGGGCACAAGTGATTCTCCTGCCTCAGCCTCCCAAGTAGCTGGGATTATAGGCACATGCCACCGTGCCCAGCTAAATTTTGTATTTTTAGTGGAAACGGGGTTTCACCATGTTGCCCAGGTTGGTCTTGAACTCCTGACCTCAGGTGATCCACCCGCCTCAGCTTTCCAAAGTGTTGGGATTACAGGCGTGAGCCACTGTGCCCATCCTCCTCTCTTATTCTTTTAACCATTTATCAACAAGCTCTGCTATTTCTACCATCCACATGTTGAATCCCATCACTCTATGCCCTCTGCCACTACTGCAGTCCAAGTTACTAACATCTCCTGCTTGCCTGTAACAGCCTCTTAATGCATAGAGGCTCACTTGCATAGCTGCCCTCCTCTGATGAACTCTGCACACGGTTGTCAGAATGACATTTTAAAAATGTTTGTTAGATGATGTCTTCCCACTGCACTTAAATCCAAACCAACAGGCTTCCCTGCTTCTTCAACTTCACTTCATGCCCTCATCCCAGCTCCCTGGACTCTACCACCACAGCCCCCACTGGGT